GTGTCTCCCGGTGGGTTCACGCGTTCTCTCGATCGAACTGATCCGCTGACTCCGGTAACCTGCGCTTAGGTGGTAAGGTCGAGTATACTGGACTGGTTTCCTAAACCCCGTTACAATCAGTATACTGGGGTCTTCGCTCGAATGATCTCTTTACCACCGGTTGAATTAGTTTCAAAAGTTCCAGAGGATTCTTGCTTAGATATGTTTAAGATAACGGAGACTCAGGTCTAGGAGCTACTACAAGGCATTAATCTCTCTAAAGCTTCCGGTCCTGATTCAATTCATCCGAAGCTGCTGCATGAATTGGCCACTGAGCTGAGTGGTCCTCTCACATGCGTGTTCCCAATATCGCTTGACAGCTGCATCCTACCTTCGGAATGGAAGGTAATCATCTGTCCGATTTTTAAGAGCGGTGACAGCGCTCTGCCCGCGAGCTACCGGCCTGTCAGTTTGACAAGCGTAGTAGTCAAGTTGTTTGAAAAGCTGATAGGAGATTCAGTGGAGAACCACCTGAATCGATTCAACCTTCTCAGTGTTGCGTAACATGGATTCCGCAAGGGATTTTCATGTCAGACTAATCTACTTGTAGCTCGTGAAAGCTGGGCCGAAGCGGTAGACAGTGATCGTGCTGTAGACGTGCTATTCGTGAACTTTTCGAAAGCTTTTGACACTGCTCTTCATCTTCGACTCTCACTAAAGTTGAAATATTACGGCATATCTGGTCGCACCCATCAATGGGTGTCTGCCTTCCTTGAGGGGAGGGAACAGTGTGTACGGGTGGGGCGTAGCCTTTCGCTCAGGCAAACTGTCTTTAGTGGCGTCCCGCAGGGGTCGGTATTGGGGCCATTGTTGTTCGCGATCTATGTAAATGACTTGCTGGGAGAGCTCGGAATGTCATCACTAATGTTTGCTGACGAGCTTAAGCTCTGGAATGCGGATTTTGAGCAGTTCTCCGAGCCTAGTCAGGCAACGAAACGTCTGCAAAATAATTACCCAGCTCGGAGAACTGCTCAGAATCCGCATCCACACCCCGAGCTACAGATATTCTCATTTATTTTAAGCGCTGGAATATTGTGGATATCCCGGGGGGTCCTGAGGCAATTCAGTATACCTTGGACAGACTCTGGGAATGGTCTACTTTATGGTTGGTGCCCATAAAGAGGCCCAGGTGCTCTGTTCTTCGAATCAGAGCTACTAGTCCTCTCACCCGAGATGTTGTCGGTGGTGGTGAGTTCCCTGCTGTTGATTTAGGGATCGTACACTCATCAGCAATTTATTCTGGCGACAATTGGAAGAAGGCTGCTTGTCGGGGGTTTCGTATGATGTGGATTATCCGCCGCTCTTTTGGAATCCTAACGGCCAATTTGTTTGTGAAGCTATTCTCGGCATTCGTCCGACTCCACCTGGAATATTATATCCAGGCCGAGATCCTATTCCACTGAAGTTCAGTCATTAGGACAAGACAGCGGAAGTTCGGTACGCAGCGTCTCTTGATAGGTCTGACTGACCGAGGACTGAGACAATTTCTCAGTTGCCAATTGGAGGAGACGGTTAGTGCGCCTCCCGGTAAAGTTCATGGAGAAACGACAGCGTACCAAGGCATGATCAGAGTCGACACAGGTACTCCAGGCAATCCAGGATGGAAGCACGCCACCTGTAACTTATGGCAATGTGGTCAATTTGGGTCCATCGCTGGCCAGCTACAGGAGAACGCCAAGTGGCACTTCGGCGCCCACTGTGTCTAAAAGCAGTGCTACTAAGAAACAACTGGTGCTCCGCACACAGTTGCAGCAGACGCTCACCGTTGTCAGTCCGTTCGGAGTTAAGCCCATAATTACCACCCAGCTGAGCTTCTGAAGAGCTCAGACGCCCTACTTGCGCGTTCATATCGCCTGCAAGCACTATAATATCTGAACTAGTAGCACTGCGTAGTAGCGCGTTCAGTTCGTGATAGAATGTGTCCTTGACAGCATTTGAACTGCAGTCGGTGGGAGCATAAGTAGAAATCACGAACAAACAGCGTTTTGTATTACTTCGTGAATCAACCTTAGCTGATGTCGTCAAACGGGCTGCACATAAACGGCTGTTCACCGGAATCCAATCAACCAACAAGGGCTCAGCCTTGATGCATACACCAGCTTGACCCGTGTGCTGCATCGTCGTCTCCGGATGCGTGCAAGCAATAACGAGAGGATAAGTCGGGTGCAGTTAATTCAATAACCCCGTTAGGGTCATTGATCCTAGTTTCGGACACACAACACACATCAATACCCAGTGTGTCCAAGGTGCGTGCGAGTGCAGCCTGTTGACCTGTTTGTCTTAGAGTGAGAATGTTGAACGTCGCCATGGAAACGGGATAGCGTGACCTAATAAGGGACTTTTGCCGATAGGCGTCCGATAGCTGGGGTGGGATGGTGGCTGCAGAGGGTTCTACTCTAGTGGCACTTCGGTTGCTTCAATTAAGCTGGGAATTATAGAAGGAAGGTTAGTAATGGGGACCGGGATGAGAGTAAAAGAAAAAAGGTGGAAAAGAAAGAAGGGAAGCGTCAGCAGTAGCATGTTTTCGCTTATCGGCCCTGCTGTATGCAGCAGATAAGGCGACCCTTGATAATCTGCGCGACGACCGATGCAGGATGCATTTTTGAAGTAAATGTCATGGTTGTATGTGGGCTGAGATACTGCCAGGGCGCCCAGACCTAGACAGGAGGGCGATTAGGGTCCTCATCCAAAGCCTTTGGCTCAAAAGCCTGTCCGCAAGGCAGCGGGGAGGTGGCAATGATTTAGTTTTACAGAAATGGACGCCATCCCACTTCAAACCCCCAACCTGGAGGAACAGGAGACTGAGTTTGTCTGACCTCTCACCATTGACCAACCTGGTAGGAGTAGCTCTCAAGATGCCCGGAGGCATCACCCAGTATAGCTCAATGGGTCAATGAGGTACGCAAACCGTTGCATCACGTTAAGATCGAGTCTCGTTACGACGGAATGTCGGCCAATTTGCTTGACGTCAGTGGCCTGCAAGATCATGGAAACGCTCGTTGAGTGTGCCATTCGCCGACACTGCGATGATCTGAACTTCACTTCCTTTACTTAGCATGGCTTCCGAAAGGAACATTGCTGCAACACTAACCTACTGGTCGCTAGAGAGAAGTGGGTTGTCAGTGGACGCTGGAAAAGGTTTAGATGTGGTCTTCATAGACTTCAGCAACGCTTTTGAGAGTGTCCCTCATCAATAACTACTCTCTAAGCTCTGCGGAATGGGTATAACAGGGAACCTCCTACTATGGATCAGTGACTTCTTGTAAAAGCGGAACATGCAAGTCAAGGTAAACGATATCCTTTCACTTCCATTGCCTATGTACAGTGGTGTACCACAAGGCTCCGCTCTCGGACCGGAATCGTTCAAGATTTATATATCAATGACCTACCTAGTATGCTACAAACGGACTGTCTGCTTTATGCGGGCGACCTCAGGCTTTGGTCGGAAGGGTTCAGCGTCGGAGACGCCGACCGATTACAGGAAACGGTTGATCTACTACACGCTTGGTCTATCAAGTGGGGTTTGTCAGTCAACAAAGATAAGCGCTCTGTCCTTTCCATCGGTGCTGCTGAACCATTGGGCATCTATCGCATTGGCGGGCACCTACTCAAGATTGCCACAGAGGAAAAGGACCTGGGGACAATATTATCCTCTGACCGCAAAGCTACCCGTGACACATGAAAGAAAATTGCTGCAGCAAACAGGATGTGGGGCGTCATAAGGAGACCATGCACTAAAAGGACGCCACAGATATTTAGAGTTCTCTTCATCTCCCATATCTGTCCCATTCTTGCATTCGGACTTCCGGCCATAGCCCCTTTATCTAAACATGAAAGTGACAAGATAGAGAAAATTCAGCGACGAGCCTCGAAATTTGTCCTTGGGCTACGCGAACTCCCGCACCCCGTCCGACTAGAGGATGAACCTTTTTCCCTTAGACTATCGCCGACGTCGCGGAGACCTCATCTATCCTAGGAGAACTGCGAAAGGAGCTGACGCGGCTTTTTCTGCTGACTTGGCAGTTTGACTCGAGGTCACAGCTGGAAGCTGTTTAAACCGAGGAGGTTCTAAGTCCGCTCAGATGTTGCTCACTCTACTCGAGTAACTAATGACTGGAACCGACTGCCGGACCCGGTTGTCAATGCGCAGTCAGAAGCAAGTTTCAAAGGTCTTCTGGACATCTTCCTACTGAATATTACAGGATGCTGCAGGACTGATAGTACATCCTGAGTTATGCCACATCTACTACGTCTGCAATCTCTGGAAGATCGGGAAGTGCAGAAGCTGACACGGGACCTCCCTTCCGCTCTCTACCGCTCAATGAGCGACCCGCTGAAAAAGGAACATTCACAGGAGAATCCTATCGTTCCAGTCCCGCTTGAACTTGACAGGTGTGTGGTTCGGGTGTTCCGTTTTATACCCATTAAGACATCACAGCATCTTAACATTTCCTGACTCAACGATACGCTCAAGAGATTTCCCTATCTTTCCAGTCCCATCTGAATATGCACTAGCGGAATGTAATACTATTGAAGCTTTTAGAAAAAGCTTATATATGAATTGGTCCATTTTGTTTCCGGAATTGCACTGAGATTAATAGATTCTAATTAGCACTAATAAGATGTCATTAATGGTCTCATGAAGTTATGAGACGTTCCTCTTACTTTTTTTGTCTCTGTAGCAGTTAAGCATGAATGTCGAAGTGCCGGGGGCCTTGGCGTGCTTACCGGCAAAGGAAACGAGACGCTCGTTAGGCGAAGGTCTGTTTCGTCCGTGAAGATCTGACCTGACCTATTTTTAGGCAGACAAGAAAACCAGAAAACTTCAAGTTACAAAGACAACCGCAACCACTTTGGATTCACCAAGTGGTGTCAGAGTTAGTAGCGAGGGAGCTGCTTTGCGAGCTCCAAGACGGAAAACGCGGACGAACGAGCGATAACTAGGAGTCACTGAGGAGTCAAGCATAGTTACAGGGACATATATTTAAAAAGTAAAAAATTACAAAGATTTGTTAGAAATCTGCATCAGTAGTAAATCTGTGAGTATCTTCTCCCCTAACTCTGGACATAACGCCAGCCCGCTGGTAGTCGCCAACGCGCTTTTCAAAGAAATTTGTTTTCCCCTCTAGCGAGATGTTTTCCATGAAATCGAAGGGGTTGTCCGAAAGATAAAACTGCGAAACTGACTAAAATGCAAAATGATTTACCTTTTCTAATCCAAGTTCGACAAGCAAGCGGTCAGCGATGAACTCGATATATCGGCACATTAATTTGCAATTCATTCCGATCAGGCTGACAGGCAACGCGTCGGCCAAGAAGCTTTGTTCGATCTCAACAGCCTCCTTAATTATGGCAAGCACGCGTTCTTTAGCAGGTTTGTGCACGATGTGTTTGAAAAGCAAACATGCAAAGTCGCAGTGAAGACCTTCGTCCCGGCTTATTAGCTCGTTACTGAAAGTTAAGCCGGGCATGAGCCCACGCTTTTTTAGCCAGAATATAGCTGCAAAGCTCCCGGAGAAAAATACACCTTCAACTGCGGCGAACGCGACCAAACGTTCGGCGAAAGTAGAACGGGTGTCACCGATCCAGTTTAGCGCCCACTGAGCCTTCTGTCGAACACAATCGAGATTGCTAATGGCGTTGAAAAGGAAGTCTCTACAAAAATAAAGCAGGAAATAAGAGTGCTGACCTTTCTTTTGGATCCTTAATGTAAGTGTCGATGAGAAGAGAGTACATTTCAGAGTGAATGTTTTCGATGGCAATCTGCATACCGTAAAAGCAGCGTATCTCCGGTATCTGAACCTCCTGACTGAAACGTTCAAGCAAATTCTCTAGTACGATCCCATCGCTTGCAGCGAAGAATGCCAACACGTAGGAGATAAAATGACGCTCGCCCACTTTAAGACTGCTCCAGTGCGACAAGTCCTTTGAAAGATCAACCTCTTCTACTGTCCAGAAGGAGGCAACGGCTTTCTTGTAAAATTGCCATACGTCGTGGTATTGTATTGGAAACAAGACAAAACGATGTGGATTCTCGATCAGCAGTGGCTCAGTTTCCAACTCAGATTTCGAAACGGAATGACTTTTCTCATAAGTAATTTCCTACGGGATTAAGTTCCTCGAGGTGTTAACTTACCTGAGATTGGGAAGTGATTCTCATATCTTTCTACATTGCTGTAAAACAAACTGTGGCTAGCAATACTTACAATAGAACATAACAGCTCATTTTCTTTGTTCTCCGTCGACATTGAGGGGCGAATTACGAAGGCGCAGTACTAAGCGAAAAGCAGCAAAATTGGCAGAAGACCAAACGCGAAATTACTGATGGTGGCCAGCTGTGGCTGCGAATAACGTACCTTTTAAGAAAATTACCCGGAAAGCTATTACTATGATGCAAAGCACCAAACATGGCAAAGGTAGTTTAGATAAATGTATATAGGTAGGTATTTATTACATGATGTTACTGCTGTATCTGATTTAAACAGGGAACTTCAAAGTCCTTTGAGACCTCACTACTTTTGTAATTAATTACAGGAAGCGACTGCCGGACCCGATGTTAACTGCCGTCAGAAGCAAGCCTCAAACTTTTGCTTTATTCAAATCTACTGATTACTGCAGGATCCTGCAGGACTGATGCTGCATCCAAAGCTGTGTCACAGCTAACAATTCTGTAGTCTTTGGAAGATCGGAAAGTGAAGCAGATGACACGGGAACTCACAACTGTTCTCTAACACTCAATGAACAATGCACTCAATGAACAATACATTTTTGATGTCCGGACAACTAACAAGTACTTACTTGTGAAATATCACTGTAATACTAAGCTAATAAATGTTTGTATTTTATTTATTTTAATACGCGTGGTAGTATAATGTATGCACATTACACTGAATAATGTATTTATATAAACAATTATGAAATAATAAATGAGGAACCTGGATAATGCATGTGAATAATAAAATGCTCACGTTAGGTAACATTACCACAACCTGGATGTATAAACGCAGGTTTTATTATGGGAAAGACACATCCTAAGTTAAAAATCATGAAACTTAAAACTTCTTTCAACCTAGTGCACTGCTGTTCTTTTTTGCGCACTCGATTTATGTGTTACGCGGGTGCGGTCTGCTCTTGTATCCCCGCTCAACGAAATCAAATCTCAAAACGTCGCCTGTGATTTGACTATGAATAATTAACTATATAAAACAATGTCTTGCGCACCACTTACTTTAAAATAATTACATTGCGCTTAACCATACATGGTTTTAATATACCGACTTAAATCATAACTTATTGCTTAAACCTACCGCAACTTATTTGCGGCTATTTAGGTGCATGCATACTATGCAACGCCCAGCGTGTCTGGGATGGCATAAACTTGTGTGCTTTATGCTTACAGCTGATCGTATTAAATGCCATAAATAAACTGATTCATATCTCTTTCTCCTCTGTTACCGCTTTGAAGTATGGAACACATTACAACTTTCTGCTAGTCTAATCCCATGTATTACGATTCCAGCGCTTTGGTCTAAAGGTATTTCCGATAATCAAGTTCAAGTTCAAGTGGGACTGGAACGATAGGATGAATCCCGTAAGTGTTCCTTCTTGAGCGCGTCGTCGATCCAGGAGTTGATAGGGGTGCTCCGGCTACCTGATGGGTCTAAAACGAAAACACCCGAAAAACACCCTGGTCCACCAATTTAATGCCCACGTTCCTTACATTAGCTGTCCCAGCTATGTCAGTTACGTGAAGTAAGTAAGAGAGGAAGGAGAATCGAAGGTAAGAGAGTAGGGGAAATCAGTCAAAAGAAGAGAATAATACCAATGGCGAGGAAAAGTAAAGAAAATAGAATCGAAGTATGAAGATGGGAATTTGTCAGGAAAACGGAAAGGTTTCGTGTTGCCACCCAAGAGCATCTAGTTGACGCTCAAACCCTTAACCGTAGCTTCCTTGACAACATATTCTGGAAGCAGGTTCCAGCGCTCGATGACTCGACGCGATAAGCGTGTCTCCGCTCTAACTCGATCGGACCGCGGTTTGTCCAGCTTCATACAATGTCCGCGGAGACCAGATAATCTAGCAGGACTAAATAGCATGGACAAATCAGGGCCAACCTTCCCAGTCAAAATACGGTAGGTTAGGATTAGGTCCCCTCTAATTCTTCGATAGTGCATTGACTGCATCCCCAAACTAAGTAGGCGTTCGGGGTACGTTTGCCCTCGTAATCCCTTGACCAACCTAGTACCGACACGCAACACCCTTTCTAGTGCCATTTTGTCCCGGACAAGGCATGGTGGACAGGCCTGGACGCAATATTCTAGGTGGGGTCGTACAAACGCTGAGAAGAGCTTCACAAACACATCAGCGGTTAGGATCCCAAAAGAACGACGGATAAAACACAACATCCGGAACCCTTTACTAGCCGCCTTCTTCCAGTTGTCGCCAGAATGTAGTGTGGAGCAGTGGACGACACCTAGATCAACCTGATGAGTCACGTGAGGAAGTACAGTCCCATCGAGCACATAACTTGTGGAGGAATCAGACGCTCCGATAAGCAGCACTGAACACTTTGCCCGGTTTGTGGGCAGCAACCACAAGATAGACCATTCCCAGAGTCTATCCAGAGCCCGTTGAAGAGCCATAGGACCTCCAGGGATATCAACAATATTCCAGAGCTTTAGGTCATCTGCAAATAAAAGCGATTGTACCTCAAGCTCCTCCGGCAAGTCATTCACGTAGACTGAGAACAGCAGCGGACCTAGGACAGAGCCTTGCGGAACGCCGCTAAGTACAGCTTGTCGAAATGAAAGACTGCTTCCCACACGAATACACTGTTCCCGTCCATCCAGAAATGCTGACACCCACTGGAGAGCACGACCAGATATTCCATACGACCTCAACTTCAGTGAGAGTCGCGAATGGGGGACAGTGTCAAAGGCCTTGGCGAAGTCAATGAACACCACATCCACCGCATGTCCACTGTCTACGGCTTCAGCCCAGCACTCACGAGCTACCAGCAAGTTCGTCTGACACGAAAATCCTTTGCGAAAACCATGTTGCTCGACGCTAAGCAGGTTAAACCTATTTAAATGGTTCTCCACTGTATCTCGTACTAATTTTTCAAGTAACTTAATGACCACGCTAGTCAAGCTGACAGGCCTGTAATTAGCCGGTAGGTCTTTGTCACCGCACTTGAAAATCGGGCAGACAACAGCCTCCTTCCATTCGGTAGGCAAGATACAGCTGTTGAGTGACTTCTGAAACACACAAGTCAGAGGTCCACTGAGTTCCCCTGCCAGTTCGTGCAGCAACTTTGGATGAACAGAATCTTGCCCAGAAGCCTTAGTTGGGTTTATCTCTTTTAGCAACCGGAGAACTTGGGACTACGTTACAGGAATTTCATCCAGACAACAGTCCTCAGGTTAACTTGGAGTTAACTCTTTGCATGGCGTATTTGTCTCACGGACAAAGACGCTTGAGTACTGCTTACCAAGCACGCATGCCTTGTCATAGTCGCTATAGTCATGGGTCCCATCTCCTCGAAGCAATGGTGGAATGTGCGAGTTTGCACCACAGCGTCGTTTAACGTAAACGAAGAATCTCTTGGGATTTTTCGAAGCAGTATTAGCTAAGCCCCTTTCATACTGAAGCGGAGCCAACCTAAGAGGTAGCTTGCACCCATTTCGAACCAACCGATACTTGTCAAACGTGCTGTTCGACGGAGCTGTTCGGTAAGCTCGCCAGCATCTAGACCGCTTCTTTAGCAGGCCCTTCCCCGCGGAATCTATCCACGGAGGCTGCGCTTTCGATTCCCTTCTTTTACCAGTGGGACATGAGTTGCAGAAATGTCGACGAGGTGAGCCTTAAGCTTTTCCCAGGCTATGTGAACAGTGTCGGCAGAACACACAGAAATAAGCTAGAATAAATTTCATTAAAAGCTGCTTAAGCTTAAGATACTAAGTCATCTGAAGACGACTACCTAGGGTGTATTTCGTAAGGTGCTGAGTGCGATCGAAGAACCGACCTTCTTTTCGAAGGCCGCGGACAAAATCCAGATGTTGTGGGTGATTATCATACAAACACGTGCACCATACAAACATGCAAACGACTTACTTCCCTAATACATGAGAAATCTCTGAATCCATAGGATTTAGGATTGGTTTACGCATCAAGCTGAGGAATCTCCAGGGCACTGCAGGATCCTACCTAAAGCAACCAGCTTTGCTGCCTCAGGGTGAATCTAGGGCGTCTCTTTGTGGATATTTACAGTTGCTTCCACAAACCGGGCACAAAAGTCATGGTGCAGTTTCCCTCACTTTATCAGAGGGAACACTAACCTTGCAAGGTAGAGTATCCGAATACCGGGGGTCGGCAACTAGGAGCAAACAAAAGAAGATTTGTCATGAAGCTGCTACGAACACCAGCACTAGGGAAATATCATGCAAAAGCTGAAACGCTCAATAATGCTTTAAAACCTAAAGTGAAGCCAACTCCTACTCCAAGCGGCTGGAAGCCATTATAGGCAAATTAAGCCAACTAAAACGGCTTTTATGGAAAAGCCAGTCCTGGAAATGATGATGATGCAAAGCTGATGATGAAAAAAGGATGATGCAAAGTGATGATACGTGGAAAACGAAGCTCCTCGGTAAGCTCGTCTGTAACCGTACAACCGACTAAAAGCCACAATTGTATGTTTAATATCACTACAACGCGACGGATATGACTCGTCGATAAACGGTCATGGCCACCTGCGCACTCACATCATCACACTTACTCCCCGGCCGCCAGTCATGCAACGTGCTTCCGTTACCCACTACGTTTGCAAGCAGCCCTACCAAACACGATCACATTTACTGTATTCGATCATCATGCTTATTGTACACAGACGCGAACATTCAAATCGACATGCACACAAAGGCGTACCACATGGATCACATGGTGACCTTACTGTATATATACACCCATCCTTACTTTTGGCCTAAATATGCTACTGCCTGTGGGGGCATGCTCCGCGTTGTTTCTCTTTTATTAGCAATGATATTTTACTATGCTTAAAGCTAATTATTTTGCATGTAAGTGCGCTCCAAGCTCAGAGTTTTCACAAAGTTCCTGCAATTATAAAACTAAATAGTACCCTCTAATTGGCCGAAAACCTGCTGGGTTGCAATCTCATATTCGCTCTTCGACTTGGTGGCAAAAGGAATATTCTTTTACAAACGGTCCACCAAAATTCATCTTTCAAGATGCGCAAATTTGCCACCTGCTCCTTAGAGGAACCTGGTGCACTAACATTGAATGTCTCTGCCTGATGGCAAGTTTTAGGAAGAGAGCGACAAGCCACCAGTGAAGTGCGAACGAGCCGAGCGAAGGGCACTGCTGTTATTTAGGCTGCAAGTTGCCTTGTCCAGAAAACTCGAATAATTCGCTAGAAGCAAATCGTTGTCTTAACAGCCTCTAACCT